TCTACTTTTTTTTGGTGGTCCTTCAATTATATTTGAAGTTGTCTATGGTGAACAACAGACATTCTTCCAAAAAGGCTGATAAATATGGGTTGGCAGCCAGAAAACATATCATAAATTATAAATATCAGGGGACACAAAAGGCTCAAAGTGGAAAATGGAACACTGACTTCCGTTAACCAAACTACTGTAACAGATCTTCTTTGATTCAGTTGCAGTACTTTGGGTTTGTGACTCAAAGATTAGTCTCTGAACTAAAAATGTAGACGATTGAGAACATTCCAAAAATGTGGCCATAAAAAATGAACTTAAAATTACTTTTTCTAAATGTAATTGCTTAAAGACATGTGACAATATATTAATAGAACCCAGATATAGACGAATAAATTATACAGCCTCTGAAGCTGCAATGCAATTACAATTTCAAACAAATTGGCAGTGACCAATCATATCGCCTGACTATCTGGGGCAGAGTGGTAGTTTTTCAAACAAGGGAAAAAAGAACTGAACTGAACAGAACAGAAGTATGAGTAATTGTTTCCGGTACAGAGTGTGTGGATATAAACTGTGTGTGTATGTATGTGTACTTAGCATAATTCAAATTATTCTTTTTCAGACTGCACCTTTATCTTCTGTCTGAGTGCATATCCATGGCATTCTTAATGGCTGGTTAGCAAGAGCAGTCGTAATCAACTGAAGACATTTTGTTACTTATTTAAGAAACTTCATTAGCTATTCTTCTACTCACTGTTATCCTGTGACCAGAGTCTTCCTTGACACGTGCATTTTTAGGCTTGGAATTGAAGCAATAAAGGGCTCTATTTGTCAGATTTTCAATCAGGCTCATGGGGACCTTCCGGGGTTTGTTCTCCATTAAAAATAGTCCTCTTACAGAGCAGTACATCGCTTTGTTAGACTCCAATACATCCTTAATCATACTCAAGTATGCTTCTCTTTATTCCAAGGTCGGATTGAAAAAAAAATCTAATTTCCACCCAAGGCAAAGGCCACTCATTGCCAATGCTTTAATTGCATCAGAAATAGACCAGGTGCTCCACAGCAAACATGGAAGGAATTATCAGCAGAAGGAACCGGCATATTAAAACTTGTCTTTTCCACAGGGAGGATACGCCTGGATGGACGTAGCCCCAAGTCCTGATGAAAGCAAATGGACTTCTGGAAGACCAAGGACAATGTGTGGAAGTGTGTGTGTGAGGTTTTAGTTTAGTTACATCCCATTGAAGAAAACAGATACCAACTCAGTGACTGGTGTATGGTTTTGCAAACACCCACCAAACCAAGCTTAACCTTAAAAGAAACATTACAATGTTTTCAAAGAAAATACGACCAATGCTTAGCCAACAGGCCCTAGCAATGATGAAATCAAGGCAGTGGGGTGGCCTGGATACGCTGCAGCCATAGAATTGGACCCCCCCCCCCCCCCCCCCGATGCATTAGGCTGTGCTGCTCAGCTCCTCTCCCCTGCAGACAGTGATGGATCTGATTCATTTCAATGGTGGCCTCCAGTGCTCACTCCCATTCGGCTGGGTGACAGTGGCAAACTGGCGCTGGCTCCCCACATATCTGCCCAGCCGACATAGGAGAAGGGGGGGGGGGGAAGAGATTGCCGGGAGCCTATGTCGACATTTAACTTTTCTTATTGCAGGGTTGCAACTGATCCTAAATTCTACATTTACCTTCTCATCTTTTCTCCACTATGAGTACATTAAAATCTCCTCAAGTGTTTTAATGGCACCTATTCAAACCATTAGGCCTTGAGAAAACACTGCATCTTCAGCTCCTTACAGTGTTAATGGGAGTGTGATTTATGGAACCTAAAATGCACTGTTACATCTCAATCTCCTGCTATCTCATGGCAACTGATGTTGAAGTAAATGTCAAGTTATTAACACAGTGTTTCTATAAATGGATCAAAAATGTTTAACCTGAAAATATAATTATTCCACAAACAAACTGTTGGTGTAATAATGACAGTAAAACAAGTTTCTGAAAAAGTGTTTGTGTGTGACCTTAACTGTCTGCTCACTGTCAGTGTGTCTACCTGTCTGCCTGCTGGTGAGGGATTAGGAGGACAGGAGAGTGACTGGACCGAAGTGATAGAACTCACTGAACCTTAGGGCTGAGCTCTCCCCGCAGGGACATCTGTCCTCTCCTCCAGATTGGACAGGGTAGGGTCGAAGCTGTGTAGACTGAAACCAGCTCTGTGTTTAAAAAAGGCATGGGGCTCCGTGTCGCTTTAGGTGCAGGTTAATCTATGAAATATATCAATCTTTTTAGATCCGTACATTTTAATGGTTGTAAAATGCATTTATAATAAATTGTATGTATTATAATTAAAAGGTGAACAATAGAAGTATGAGTGTACATGGTAATCTTACCCTGAGGGGGACGTCATATTTAATTGCAGCTAAAGTTAGGGCATAGTTAAATATTTTGTGAGACGATCCAGTGTTAGTTTTTCTTTCTGTGTTGGCACTATTAATGCTTCAACAAAGTTAAATGAATGACACAGTAGAGTTTTTTCCATGCGGTGCTGTTGTTTCTTCTGAGACCGGACAGAGCAATTGGAAATGAGAGTTCATGGCGAGAGGATTTAACTTTGTGATGGTGGAAAACATAGCATGGTGAACAGCTCATAGGGTAATGCATTTTGCTGAGGAATGTTTTGTTTTTCACAGAATAACCACAAATCCCATTAAACCTGCTGCTTCCTTTTTAAGATAAATAGCAGTTACCTTCTCGGTTAGTGCACTGCATGCCTTTGTTTTGACAAAAAAGAAAAGGAATAAAATAAGGTCCTGTTTTTGTGCAATAAAGCAATCCAGCAGATGTAGGCAGAGATCTCCTTACACAATTAAGAGGGATGAACCAAGAGGCAAAACTGTTAGAGTAAACGTAATGCAGCAATGTATGAGTAATACCTGTGAGAATTCAACTCCACTCCCTGGCTGTATTTATCCAATGTTCTACCTGTTAACTATGGAGCACCACATGTTGGGGGGTAGGGGAGGTGATAACGGACATTAAAACACGAAGAAAAACAAGCGCACAGAGCGTCGGGGGGGTGCTCTGTAGTGAGACACAGAACACTCGAAGGATGAGGGCTTGCAGAGAGGGTGAAGGGCAGAAAAGGGGGGGAATGGGGCTCTGTGTGGTACTCCAAACTGACACACAGCCACGGGACACAGGCTCCAATTAGAGTCACTGCAACACTAATCAAACCTGATCTACAACCTCTGGCTGCAGGGTGACTGATCGTGTGTGTGTGTGTGTGTGTGTGTGTGCGCGTGCGTGCGTGCGTGCGTGTGAGTTGTGTTCAAACATGTATCCCCAACACTGAAATAAACCATGCTTAGTGTTTCATATTTAGCTAAATCAGGTTTGCATTCATTTAGGTTTTCAGTCCAGTATGTGTAAGAGTGTAGTTATAGAAAGGTAGGCTGGGATTAGCTCAATGTCACAATGGGCATTTCATGAAGTTGAAATCCCCTCGCCTCAATATTCTTCACTTTTGCCTTGTGACAAAAATCCACCAAGCTGCAATGCATATTCCGTTATCTGTCTATCCTACAGTGGTATTCCGCAGGCCTGTCAATCATAACCCAGTGAAGTGCTTCTTAGATATCATATCAAGGCCCACCGTGGGCAAAAAAAAGTCACATAGAATGGGGGGAAATGGGACTGTTTGAAGATTTGCATGATGGTGTGGTCGCTTCCTTAAAGGTCCTCCTCAAGCTATCTCAAAGCAACAATAATCTATAGCCAATGGCAATGTAGACGATAGCTACTCTCGTTTATCATTCAGTGCTGTTGAAATGTGGCTATCAGTCTTCTTCATTTAATATGTATTCCACTCGTACGTGGATATGAATTGGATCATGCATGTGTGTTTGTTGAGTTTTGATATACATTGTGTATCTTGTGATGTGCACACATGAGGGAACTGAAATGTATGCTTCTTTGAGAAAAGGCAGCTCGTTCTAAATAGAATATTAGAATAAAGTAATCCCGATCTGACTCCTTGTGATGCCTCAGAGCGTATTATTGTGACTCCTCCCTGAGAGTTACCCTTACCTCATTGTTTTTGGACACATGCCGGGCCACGATGAGCTGAATCATCCCTCGTATGTTGCCCTCAACAGACATGGATGTGCGCAGGGTTTCCATGGCGTCCTGGTTGGTCATACCATGCAGTGACTCCCCATTGATTGCAATGAGCTGGTCATTGACTCGTAGACGGCCATCCTGCAGACAAACCCCATCACAAAAAAGTTAGATCTGAGTCATAAAGTTCTCGCATTAACATATTCTAAATACTGACTGTTTGCATTGATCAATGGAACAATTTGAACTAGAACGACATGTACATTTGGCAGCTGGGATAACATATACACCTTCTCCTAAAAAATCCCAATAAATACAGGAGTATGATCACTATCTCGTTTCCCTATTTTGTGTGTTATTGGAAACATTTTGAATGTCTACATTATATGACAAACAATTCAAAACTATAACAACTCAAATTGAAAAGTGTATGGGTATAATACAATGTATTATTCTTCAGGATAAGAACATTCACAATATAGTAGTTAAGCCACTTAAACAGTGGGCTCCATGGATCTTGGTAGTCCACCGTATCCTTGTACTTATATGTAAGTAGGTCCTTAAGTTACACTAAAGGCAATGAAGGCAATTAATAAAGTAATGGTCGAATTGTAAGTGAGTGGGAGCAATGTAAATGGATGGGAGTGGTGACTTGCCTTGCTAGCAGCACCTCCATTAATTATGGATTTAACAAAGATGCCCAAGTCAGCGTGGTTCTCCTTGGACCGGTTCCCCTTGACGCTGACCCCCAGGCCTGCTGAGCCAGAGTCACTCAGAGGGATCTCAAAGGTCATGAACTCCTGTGTACCATCAGGGGTTAACACGATGTCGTCTTCTTCTGCCTGCTGTGGGTATTATTAAAGAGGGAGAGCGAGAAAGAGAGAACGATAAATAATTTGTTATGGCTTTGGAACATCTAAGAACAAACAGTGGCAATGTAGTTGCTACATTGCCACTGTTGGATTCAAATCTATGTGTGAAGTATACAATTCCAACTTTAATTTTGGTAAAAACAATGAAAAACTAAGTTAAAAAAAATATGTAAGAGAGAAAAAATGAACAGAAAATGAAATAACTGGGATGGTGAATGACAAGAAAATGATGAAGCAAGCGGGAGACAAGATAAAGAGGAGAAAGATGAGGGAGCAGGAGAAGAAAGCGAATGGATGGCAAGCATGTCACAAACCTCAGGGCTGTCAGCGTCAATTGGCCGTACTGTCTAGCCGAGCGCTGCTAATTCCTGTCTACCGTCATGAGCTCAGTGTAGGAGCAGTGGGGACAGCGAAGAACTTTGAAAGCGCCAGGTAGCAATTTGGTGCTCAAAAAAAACACTGGGTTCCTTTGAACAACACCCCTTTGAAGGATAATTTGTGACACGTTAAGAACACGACCCTCCTTCCCCGAGCGATCCATGGGCCTTTTGTTGAAAATTACCATAGTAGCGTTTTGTTGCAAGGCCTGTACTGCACATGTTCATGCCTGGTACACACACAAAATGGCTCATTTTAGCTGCCAGAGAGGTGTGAGATAGAGTGTTGAGGGTCTAGCACCCAGCACGATCAATTCAGCTGGAAAATAGTCCATCAAACAACCACCACAGTCTGTCATACAATTTCCACTGGTATATAACAATGAGCATATGCAGCTAAACAAAAAGTGGAGAATAGGTGTGAGAAACCTGAGGTATAAAATAAATGGTATTTCCGTTTGTTGACTTCAGTAAAACCTAATCAAGATGTTAAAATGTTTTTTAATTATTTTTGTTCAATTACTTTTGAGCCATGGTCGACATGCCTTGGCTGAGTCAATGTTTTAAAACCAAAAGTGTGTAGAATGAGTGGTTACTTTCCCTACAGATGTTCCTATACATGCCTGCTCAAAAGTAAGATTGAGATCTGTAACACTGTGATTGGCCAGATTGTACAGTACATGTGTAGTTATTGCCATGGCAGCCAAATCCACATGAACAATGCTGGCGGTGAGCGCAATCAACCCCAGAAACCAACCGCAAGAACCCTTTAAACAGACTCACATCGATACATGTGGGCACACACACACACACACACACAGCCAGATGGATGGCAGCCAGGTGTGTGCCCTTCACAGCTGCTCGGATAAAGAGTAAAGAAAGGGAAAGATAGAGCATAGGGTGTTTCTCTTTTCTTTTTCGGACACTGAGGAGTTATTAGGATGCAGCGGTGCGTTCAGGTGGAGGCTCTTTTCAACACCCTCTGACTGAGCCCCTATTCTCCAGACAGCCCAGCTACCTGCCCCCTTTTCTCCTGCTTTTCTTCTCCAGCTTTCAAAATAGCAGTACACCTGTCAGTACAACCTGCCAACTGGGCTTTGTCCGTGACTGGACCCACAGTCAATTCCGCTCGCTGGAATCCATTTAATCGCGCTGCATTTCAACACTTCCGTTTCTATTACAGAAATCACCGGCTCTTGTCAGGAAATGACCCTTTTCTTCCCCTCAGACGGCTGAATGAAGCAGATAGGGCATAAGTGCAGGTGTAAATATAATGCATCAGCAATACTTAACTTCTCATTCTTGTTTTTAGCATGCTTGAATTTTCGCTCCAAAAAGCAGTGATAGCCATATCATATATTATATTATATTATAATTATAATTATAGTATTATATTATATATTATATATTATATTGAAGTAACTTTAACTCAACTTGTGGAATCAGTTGGTTACCAATGCAGGCCCATAGCAACGCAGCACAAACAGACTGTACAATTTCCATTTTGAAAAGAACGCTTGTGCATGAATGGCCTTGTGCGTCATTGGCAGGGTCAGTCTGTATCTTTAATGAAGATGTTTTATCAAAAGAAAATAAATAAATAGTGGCTATGAGTTATGTCCCTGGAGAGGCTTTTAGCCCAGCATTTGAACATAGTAATACATTGGATGAAAACAAATACTTTGGATGGACCCTGTCAGAGCATCTGTGTGTGTGTCTCTGCATGTGTGTGCGCTCTCCTCCAAAATGATGACAGAATAACCACCCACTCAGAGCTGTGTTCCGGGAATAGCGGGCCGAGGCAGAGAATGAGAGAGCAGTGTAACATTTTCATCAGACAGGAACAAGCGCCGCTAGCCAAGAACGAGTTTGTCAGGCAGCTTGACAGGCCTCGTTGCACCGACTCAGCTCAGGCAGAGCTGGATTTAACTACCTCTGAACAGGGGAGAAAGTCACCTCATTGTTCCAAGCTCAGCCCCGTTTATGCACCTGGGACAGAGGGAACAAAAGCACTGACAATAGATGAACTGATGTAAAAGCACTGGAACGGTTGCATGCATAAATCAAAAAAGCACCAGGATTGTTTTTATTGATTTGAAATATGTCTGTGTTATCAGTGAAAAAGTCAAATACAGACCTATACATTTTTCTCCAGAGGAAGCTGCACTTACTAATGATGGTTGAATGTTTCAAACGTCCCCTCTCCTACAGTACTTGCTGCAAAGTCATGAACAAACTACCTCTGACTTTGAAGACATGTGTCCTTGAGTTCACAAGAGATTTCTGATATTTGATTGTCCCCAGTCAAATATCCAGCTCACATATCGCTTTTCCCTTCATAAAGTAACGCTGTGTTCATCGGCATCATTTAGGTTTATTTGCGGTATTCACGCCATGAAGGTGGAAGGGATTACTTTAATTGAGATACTAACAAATCTGTTTCATCAACAATGGATTAAATGACCTATAATGCTGCAAACCAAACGTTAACCATCCTGTTTTTTGCAGTTGAGTGTCTCTAAAGTCTTATATTTGCTGTCATGGTCGAACCCCAATATATATTGTTGGTTAAAACTACGGTGCATAAAAGGTCCATGCTGTACCCAGGTACTATTCATTAAGGTCAAATATAATGTGAAACCATCTTAGGTAGTCAAGAGTGGTTATAATAGAATTATTCATATTATCTGAATAACTCAAGTGACTGCCCACTTGGCCAGCTCATCACAAAAGAAGCCAACGATGTTCTCTTTTTTCCCGCTCTGACACAGCTATGCAGTCACAGTCCATTATACGATTAAGTCCTTTATTAATTAACACTGTGACGGGGTGGCAGCCATTAGTTATAGTCTATTGTCCAGGCAGGGGGGGGGGCAGAGAGGCAGCATTTGAGCAGAGGAGGCCAGGGAGAGAAGATCATTGCTCATCAGTATAGCAAAAGAGCCGTGTCTGGTTAATTGGCCTTTTTGTTTTGTTTCTACCTCGCTTAACTTGTCACCTACTAATAAGAAAGGTGTGTCAGAGAAACAGAGCTACAGAACAAGAGTAAGATGCAAGGGAGAAAAGGGGAGAGGGGAAGAGTGCAAATGAATCACACTTTCTTCTATTCATACATAACTCAGAGTTCTCTGCACATCACTGCCTAAAACAATTAACACCGCTGGAAACGTCTTTCCACACTTGGCCTTTTTTGGCGACATAAAGGTCATTGGAAATGAATTTAAAAAGGCTAAAAGAAATCAGCCAAGGGTGTAATTGCAAAAGTGGTGCATGGGTGATAAGTATTGTAACACAAATTTCCTCTGGCTGTGTTTTTCCCTGCAACATTTTCCGACAAAGGGGCAGAATATTAAATACCTCTAAGCCTAAAAACAAATCCAGTCTTTTTCAGGTACAATGAAGGGCTGAGAGGCGTTTCTGTTACAGAGCAATGAAGGACATGACCCGCACTGCTAGCTGTGGCAGGATGTAAGTGTTTATAAACTAACTTAACACATTTTGACTTGGCTCTGACAAACTGGGACTGTTACCCTTTGGGGAATTTCCAACGGGAAAGCTCATTTGGCTCATTAACAAAACAAAGTCAGTTTCTATGAGGGCATCTGAGGCCATATCTATCTTGATTGCTGCAAAGGCATTGTGGCTACTGGCTTGTAATGAGTGCACTGCTTGGATCTTAAAGTGGACCTATCATGCTGAAGAAGTGTTCAAATCTGGATCAGTCTGTATCAGATCCGTTGCAGCCCCTTTTTAAAAGATTTGGGTATGGAGGAAAATAGAGAGGGTTTTGTTTTCTGACACTTGGTGAGTTCCCTGGAACACCGGGGACACATATTCATGTATAAAAGACGTACAAAAGTGCATTTTGCATGATAGGTCCCCTTTAATGTAAGCAACAAAACAATGACCTGTTTTCAGGCGTGAAACTAGATGTTTCTGCGTACGATTGAGGAAGCGATTATCTGTAATCAAAGATAGCATCAAGAATAAAAGTGTATGTACCTCGAATTGCCTTGTGTTGAAAGGTGCTATATAAATAAACTTGCCTTGCCTTGCCTTGCATATGTATCCAAGTGTACTTTGAAACTCAGAATGTTTGCAAATATGTTTCAGTCGAACCACAGTATAGACGCACATCATGAAGCAGATGCCTCTCATTTCAATCTAATGGTCTATGAAAAGAGCTTTGCTATGTCCAACTGCACATGTACACTTCAACCCATTATGTGTTCTGGAAACAGACGCTGAATCCCCTTCGGAAGAGTGACTGTGTCGCCATAAGTGGCCTTTAACTACCTTGTTTATCGGCATTGCACAATGCTGCGGTGCACCCTCTCTTTCTCTGCACTGACAGCAAGCATAATTATGGAAACAGCTGTTGAAAAGTGCTAAACGAAAACAGGTGGCGCCGACTAGACACGCTCGGAAATCGTTAACCAGGCTGGCATTGTCTTCCACCACGCTTGGCAGCATTTAATTATGACGGAGCACGTTTCTGAACTCTGCGCCTTGATCAGAGCATCTTTCTATAGGAGCCAAATTAATAATGTGGGAAAGACTCATCAGCATTCTTGAAAAAGGAAGGTGATAAACAAA